ACGGATGAGATTATTTTGTTTGTATATGCTGGTTGAGCCAAAACCTTTTCAAAAATAGTACTGTGTTAATTGGGCTATTTTTTCTTTACAGAAGAGATTATTCATTGCTTTTAGGATGATCATATTGATTCTGGAACTAAATAAAAACTATTTACACTTTTCAGCCTGCTATTTGAATTTTCATAGGAAGCTAAACATTAGGATTTCGATTCGATTTGGAAATTTTTAGGGAATTTTTATCTGGAGTTACACTTATTCTTTCTGGAAAATACTCTGGGGCATAGCAAAACTAATTTTTTGATGTCAACTTTTTCAGATTGTCTGACACAGTGCAGCCCAGAATGATAATGGGGTATGACTCTCAATGTAATCACACTAGGATTTGCCTTGCATCTCCTATTTTGATAATCATATATGATCCAATAACTCACCAAAGCCATCAAATTCAAAACACTGAGTGCTGCCTGTCATAGCAAACTAGATATTCTTAAAATTACTGCCACTATAATTTCAATAAAATGAAAGTGGCACAGTTTTTTACTTGAAGCTCTCAGATTTATTTTTGCACATTTTCTTCTCCCATTTCCCTAAACAATACTTTGCTCTTTAATAGGCTGTCTTTGGTCAGGACTCATAAGCAGGGATAATGGTGGGAGACGGAGCAATTGTTCCCAGTAACAAACATAAGCCATTGTTGCTTTTCATTTCCTCAGTACATTAAAAAATATTAAATGTTTGCTAGTTATAGGAGTCACAAATACCGCAAAGCTATTTACATTGAGCATTAACTCTTAATCCCTAAGCAAAAATTAAAGTGAAACGCTCAATGTCCTTGACACTCGATTTGCTATTAAACCATATGAGGCACATTTGCAAGCTGTAGGAAAATGGGACAAAGTATGTATATCCTTTGCTTTCCCAATGTGATACAATATTAACATTCCAGCAAAAGAGCTTTTAAAGTCATTTAAATATACTACAAACTGATACTACAATGTGGTGCTAAGCCTTTGTGATTCATTTCAAGTTTGCTAAGTGTACAGAAAAACAAAACAAAACAAAAAAGATCAAGAAATCCAAAGGACATTTTCCTAAATCACCCTGCCAAGTTTGCTTAAAAGATGAGCAGGGGACTGGGAAGGTGGCTAGTGGCAGAGCGCCTGCCTTGCATACATGAGGCCCTGGGTTCAATTCCTCAGCACCATATAAGTAGAAAATGCAGGAAGTGGCACTGTGGCTCAAATGGTAGAGCATTAGCCTTGAACTGAAGAGTTAAAGGACAGTGCCCAGGCTCAGAGTTCAGGCCCCATGACCAACAGAAAAAAAAAGAAAAAAGAAAAAAGGATGAGCAGGATGTAAAATAAGTCTACAAACATAACTAAAACTGAGCTGGTTTCTAATTCCAAGTTGGGTATATAATATTCCGAGTCCTTGGATATTAAAACTTAATAGCAACAGTTTTTTTTAGAGGAAAGTAATATGAACATCTATGATGTAGTTGAACATGAATACTTGAAACCTATCTCATATAAAATGTCACGTAATATCTTCAAAAAATTAGCAGGAACGTTGCTCTAAATATTTAGCATAACCTACTGACAGAAGAAAGTTTAGATGTGTTTATTTATGCAACAGGCATTCCTAAACTCTGGTCGAAGCCTGCTGTTCATTAACATTTGGCACTAGAACCTGACAAGTTTTCCTGGCTGACCTGGTGATTTTCAGCCATGTTGAAAATTGAAAATATTGATCTATTGTATACTGATAAGGAAACTGAAAAGAGAGGCAATGTTAGGAAACAGCTAAGTTGGTATTCAAATTTAGATTATAAAAGGATTTCTATATTTTCCTGTATTAATTTCTGTCTCAGTTATGACCAGTGAGAAATAAAACACAAATTAAATATTTATTGACAGGTTGATTGCACATAGAATCATGAAACAAGGAACCAAAGATCCTAGATTCCTGGAAAATTTTGACCATTCTTCCCCTCCATACTAATCTATCATTTCCAAACTTCACTTCATGGTTTTCCTTATTTGTAATAACTGTATATGTCTGAGACAAGCAGAAAAGGTCAGATAAGATGATGTTAAGCAATATGAACCTCAAGACAAAAATGCTAGGTTTTGATATTCTATTATGTACTTTGCTATCTCCTCCGATGTTGCATTCTATTTCAGATACTTTTCATCAAACACTCTTGTTTATATTTACTTGAAATATTATTTCTATACACACCTGTCCTGGATAATGTCATCTGATCTGGCTTTTCTCATTTTAAAGTTCATAAGAATGAAATAAAAATATTAGACAAAACAAGAAAATATTGATTTTATGAACTTAATTATGCATATGAAACAGCCAATCTTTATAGATTAAAGGAAACATTAGGATATATTTCTCCCTAAAATCATATATAGCTTCAACCTATATCAAAATTATAGCAAAGTGGTTATTTACTTGTTTATTTATTTTGGGATGAACTAGAATTGCCAAAGTGCTGTTCTAAGCAGAAAAAAATCAATTACCAAATAATATACTATAGAAGTTATGCCTTATCTAAACTCATTTTTATTCAAAATATAGTTAAGTATAGTCATTTCAGTATCTCCTGGTGTGGGAAAAAGTTATTGAACCTTCTAAAAAATCCAAATTCTGCATCATATTACTTAAGATTCTACTGAAAGAACTTACTCAAAATCTTAAAATTATGAAGTTTTCTCGATGTTTTGTGCATGAAACCAACCCAAGATTACTAAAATTGATGTGGATAATAAATCATTAAAAAATTAAAAGATATATACATCTAGGTCCTAGACAACTGGTTGCTTATTTCCCGAATGTTTCCTGTGCAAAATTACTTTTCAAAACTCTTCAGTCCATAGCATTTTGAAGAATGAGATCTATTTCTCTAGAATTTGAATATTGATATTCTTACCACTCCCACTAAATTCTACTACTTATAAGATATTCACTTTTTTTTCGTATTATTTGCATGGCCATTCTGACAAGCTATGCCCCATGAACACAGAATTGTCTTTGTACAATCACTTTGGCTTCTTGGAAAGTGACACTCCAAATACCAAAACTTTTAGATGAGGTTAGAGAGAAAGCCTTTATGATTGTGCTGACAGATTTCTGACAGACTCAAATTAGGACTTGTACCAAATTGAAAGATGCTTACAGGATTTACTGAAGTTAAAAGAGTTGTCACAGTTGAATGATATCAATAGTATAAGGAGAGAGGAACAAAAGAACAAAATACATTTGATTTTCCTCAGGTCTAATTCAGTTAGAAAAGTGGATCAAAATTGTTAAAGAACTTTAGGTAATTGCACAAAACTTTTCATGGGGAACCTTATTTTAAGAAGTTTTAGAAAATTCTACCTATCTATCTATCTATCTATCTATCTATCTATCTATCTATCTATCTATCTATCTACCTACCTACCTACCTACCTACTTACCTACCTACCTACCTATTATGCCACCCTTTTTAAATTAGCACAATATCTTTTCGCCCATTTGGAAATAGTTTAAATATAATGTATTAAATTCAAACCAAACTTCCGAGGGAGAGAATCCAGTCTCTCACTTTCTGGTCCCAAATTAACATTTTGGATACATATTCACTTGACCAGACCTCTATCCATGTTGCTTTGATAATTTCCTGCTTCTAAGAAGTTGCTCTTTCTGACTACTAATGTCCCTTTCTGCCCAAAGTTTTTCTGACTCTCTTATTTTTATCTTGAATGTTGTAGAAGATATTCTATTTCTACTGGACTTTGTTTCCTAACCCTTATGATTTGGATACCTGTTTCTCTACATATAGATTTAAGACAATTTTTGAGAAATTAATTCTTTTTCAATCCTTTGGAAGCCAGCAGAGGGTAGTGATGATTGGTGAACTTCTTTTCTGGTTTTCTTTACTCCTTTTAGATACAACTTGATTTTCTTCAGGCATAAATTGTTTCAGCAGAAAATCTGAATTTTGAATGCAAGACAGTCTTGGAATCTACTCAGAGTCATAATTGTCATTTGTTGTTTGTTAAATGTAGTCATGACAGATGTATAAACTTCCTTCCTCCATAATTTAGAAATTAATATTTCAAAACACTTATTGTGAGTGTAAAATATAAACATTCAAGTTTCATCTTTCTTTTGTTTTTCTTTTTTCTTTTTGCTGGTCATGGGGCTTGAAATCTGGGCTAGGGCACTGTCCCTGAGCTCTACAGCTCAAGGCAAGTGCTCTACCACTTGAGCCACAGCTCCACTTCCAGTTTTTGAATGATTAATTGGAGATGAGTCTCACAAACTTTCCTACCCTGGCTAGCTTTGAACCATGATCCTCAGATCTCAGGCTCTTGAATAGCTAGGATTATAGGCGTGAGCCACAGGTACCCAAATTCATCTTTTTTCTTTATATTTCACTCTCTCTTTCTGAAGTTCAACAAGAAAAAGGTTACTTTATATTGTCCTATTTTCTTTAATTCTTTACAGTTTGGGGATTGAACCCAGGGCCTTGGGCATGCATGCATGCAAGTGTTCTACCACTTAATCTAAGTCTAGTCTCTAGCCCATCTGTATTCCATACTTTCATTTGAAGACTAACAATTTCCCTTATTTTAGCAAGATTTCTCTGTAATGCAAAGTTTGTTTTGCAAAGTTTGTTTTATTGGCTTAATACTATAGAACTCTATCTCATAGCTGTTTATGTTTGCTTGTTCTTTAATGTCTTAACAACTTTCCCTGTTGTGGTTGTGGAATGCACATATTTCTGAACCTGTGTTTACCTATCTGTGTCTGTAACATCTCACAGCATAACTTTCCCAGGAATCTTGCTCTACTAGTTAATGGAGTACCAATATTCTTACCTAATCATTTGTTTTCTCATATTTAAAATGACAATGCTAAAATATTAGATAGTACATTCAAACAGAATGTTTTAGGTTGGGATGAACTAGAATTGCCAAAATGCTGTTCAAAGGTAGACTTACATGTTGAGAATCACAGATGGTAGTGTTCTGGGTTTCTTCCTTTGTTGACTCAACTGGAGAGGTGTCATTGTTTCCAGGAATACTTTGTTGAGGCTTGAAAGAGAAGCAATTACAAATTAGAACACAGATCCATAGAGTTATTGGACAGATGATATGATGTCAGCACTTTGCTCAAAGGAAAAAAAGAATAACACACAAATTTCTTTTTTTTTCGATTTATTTTATTTTATTTGTGAACATACTGTACAGAGGGGTTACAATTACATGGGCAGGATAATGCATACATTTCTTACCAAGCATTGCAGCCTTCTCCTTTGTTTATCTTTCACATCCGTTCCCAGCTTCCCCCCCCCCCCCCACAGTCCCAATATTCCCCCCCCCCCGCCCCCCCCCCCGCACCAACATTGTAAAGCTCGTTTTCAACATGAAAACTTGTACTTCTCATTGTTGCAACAGGTCCACCTGTATCCTTAAACTACTTGTTTTTCCCCATCTCCTCCACAAGTTATACTGACACCAAATATAGTGAAAGCAGGGGTTATACTGTGGGGGAGGGACATACAAAGCAACAAAGAAATAATCTTATAAATGCGTTAGAAACACATGCATGAAAGAAAAAAAACATTAAAATACATATCTAAGGGTTCATTTTCCTGACATCACATTATCTGACCTTGACTCATACATATACTAGATATTGCAAATAAGGGAAACCATGGAGCCTATGTTTCTTTGGGCCTGGCTTACTTCGCTTAATATAATTTTTTCCAAGTCTTTCCATTTCCTAACAAATGGGGCAATGTCATTCTTTCTGATGGTGGCATAGCATTCCATTGTGTATAAATACCACATTTTCTTGACCATTCATCTACTGAGGGGCATCTGGGTTGGTTCCAGATCTTAGCTATGGTAAATAATGCTGCAATAAACATAGTTGTGCTGGTAGCTTTAGTGTGGTCTTGCTTGTAAACATTTGGGTACATGCCCAAAAGTGGGATTGCTGGGTCATAGGGGAGTTCTATGTAGAGTCTTTTGAGGAACCTCCATACTGCTTTCCAAAGTGGTTGAACACGTTTACATTCCCACCAACAATGAAGTAAGGTTTCCTTCTGTCCACATCCCCTCCAGCATCTGTTGTTGTTAGAGTTCTTGATTTTGCCATTCTAACTGGAGTGAGGTGGTATCTCAATGTTGTTTTGATTTGCATTTCTTTTATGGCTAGGGAGGTTGAGGATTTCTTCATGTAACACACAAATTTCTATCTAGCAGAAAGCCTTTTAAAATGAACTTAAAAAGTAAAATAATATTTGCTTAGACTTTACCAATGATTTATAATAAGATTTTTCCCCATTAAAAATATGTGCTTCTAAAATACTAAGATATTATTTCAAGAATGATGGCCCCTTCAGTCACAGAAATATTGTGTTCACTTTTCATAAAATCCTGAGCTTAACAGACACATAGTAGGTGCATGTCTTGTTTTCTCAATAAGAAAGAAAACATTCTGTAACTTCTTAGAAGTTTTGGAGAGGAACATATTCATGCCCCTTACTACAAGCTAAATCCTGTTTTACAGATCTGGGAATCGTAAATACCATTCTAGAATCTCTTCAGGAGCATTGTTGTTGTTGTTGTTGCTGCTGCTGCTTAGGTTTCCTGGTTCTAATGAGAGGAGAGTCTTCCAAGAACTACCTATGCAATTGTCATGATAACTAGGTCTAAAACTTTACCTGGACATATGTATGCATTTCTTGGGCAGAGCTGATTTAGATATAGTATTACATTCATCCATCTAAGAGGGGACTTTTATAAGACAGGCAAAAAGTAAATTAACTGAAAGCTTCTGCCTGAGTCTGACACTCTGATAAGAGTAGATTGATGACATTTCCAAGCACTGGGGACCAAGAAGACTAAGATGAAAGATGTGACCAGAGTATTCAAATTTCACTTTTCAATTTTTTTCTTAACCAAATAGCACTCATCTTATTTCCTAAGCAGTGCTATGTTTTCATAGAAAGAAATCCCTATAATGAAAATATGGAACTATATATATACATATATAATATGTATTATACACATATTAGAGTGTGTATGAGTGAAATGTGCAGCATATTTGCAAAACAGAGCAGAGTTGTAGCTCAAGGGGAGAGTGCTTGGTTAGTACAGGAACCAGGAACCACATGTCAAACCTCAGTACTGCAAAAAGACAAGAAAAGAATAGAAAATGATGAGGAAATGATGAAGAAATGATTTTACGAAAATAGCAAAGGACATAGCTAGCAAGATCAATAGAAAGCCCATGGATTGGGAGAAGATCTTCACTAGACATACAATGGACAAGGGTCTCATATCTAAAATATACCTGAAACTCCAAAATTTAAATACCCCATCAACAAATCTCAAAGAAACAACTGCCCAATAAATAAGTGGGATAAAGACTTATAGAGAAAATTCTCTGAATGAGAAAGAAGGATGGCCAATAGACACATAAAGAAATGCTCAACCTCCCTAGCCATAATAGAAATGCAAATCAAAACAACACTGAGATAGCAGCTCACCGCAGTTAGAATGGCTATAATCAAGAACTCTTGGTGGGGATGTGGCCAGACGGGAATCCTACTGCATTGTTGGTGGTAGAATAATCTTGTTCAACCACTTTGGAAACTAGTATGGAGGGTCCTCAAAAGACTCCAAATAAAGCTCCCTTATGACCCAGTAATCCCACTTTTGGGCATTTACCCGAACGATCACAAACAAGCTACCAGAACAACTATGTTTATTGCAGCATTATTTACCATAGCTAAGATATGAAAGCAACCCAGATGCACCTCAGTAGAGGAATGGATCAAGAAAATGTGGTATATATACACAATGGAATTCTATGCCTCCATCAGAAAGAATTGCATTGCCCCATTTGTTAGGAAATGGAAAGACTTGGAATAAATTATAGTAAGTGAAGTAAGCCAGGCCCAAGAAAACATAGGTCCCATGGTTTCCCTTATTTACAAGAACTAGTATATGTCTGAGACAAGCAGGAAAGGTCAGATAAGTTGATGTTAGGCGAAATGAACCCCAAGATGAGGACTCAAATGGATTTTCTTTCTTGGGATTTTTTCTTACATATTTATAAGATGATTTCTTTGTTGCTTTGTATGTCCCTCCTCTAGAGTATAACCCCTGTTTTCACTGTATTTGATGTTGGTATAATTTGTGGAGGGGAAGGGAAAAAACAAATTGTTTAAATAGGGATACAAGTGGACCCATTGCAACAATGAGATGTACAAGTCGTTATGTCACAACTATGTTTATTGCAGCATTATTTACCATAGCTAAGATGTGGAGCCAACCCAGATGCCCCTCAGTAGATAAATGGATTAAGAAAATGTGATATATATATATATACATATATATATATATGTATGTATATATATATATATACACACACAATGGAATTCTATGTCTCCATCAGAAAGAATAACATTGTCCCCTTTGCTATGAAATTGAAAGACTTGGAAAAAATTATACTAAGTGAAGTAAGCCAGGCCCAAGAAAACATATGTCCCATGGTTTCCCTTATTTGCAATAACTAATATATGTCAGAGACAAGCAGAAACGGTCAGACAAGTTGAGGTTAGGTAAAATGAACCCCAAGATAAGGAATAATTTGTTTTTCTTTCTTGCTATTGTTTTTAACATATATATAAGATGATTTCTTTGTTGCTTTGTATGTCTCTGCCCCACAGTATAATCCCTGTTTTCACTGTATTTGATGTTGTTATAATTTGTGGAAGGGAAGGAAAAAATTTAATTATTGTTTAAATAGGTATACAGTTGAACCCATTGCAACAATGAGATGTACAAGTCGTTATGTCAAAGAATGAACTTTACAACTTTGGCAGGGGAGGGGGAGTGAGGAGGAGGAGATGGTGGGGGGGAGGGACATAGGAGGGCAGGGATGGTAAGGGAAACAAAGGAGTAGGCAACAATGATTGATAAGAAATGTACTCTTTACCTTTTTCATGTAATTGTAACCCCTCTGTATGGTATTTCCACAATAAAAAAAAACTTATTAATGAAAAAAGAATAGAAAATGATCAGGAAAACATTAACAAAGGTTGGGCTGAGGTATCAATACAAATTTCTTAAAAAGAGATTGGACATGAATCATTCATAGAAAGCAAACAGAATTGTGACATTTGAAGCACTCTGTGGAAATAGAAAAGCAAGAAATGGAAGGGTATAAGCAGAATGACTGTAAATTCTCAGTGCAGTTTTTTTTGGTTGCTTTTTTGATTTATAGGCTGTTTTTTATTGCAAGGGTGGTATACAGCCGGGTTACAGTTACGTAAATAATGTAATTAGTACATTTCAAACAGTGTTACTCCTTCCCTTGTTTTCTCCCTCTTTCCTTCCCTCCTCCCAAAAAGTCCCCCCCCCCTTAGTAGTAAAGTTAATTTCACTTTTAAAACACTTAGGACTCCTAAACAGATAGTATTCTATAGTGGTGTGGAAAAGAAAATTTTTGTTAACCACAATCAAAATAGCTAGTTATTCTCAATGAAAGCAAGTGATTATCTACCACAGGTCTTCCCATAGCCTCTTATTTACAGACACTTTGAAGAGTCAGGTTTGAAAGAAACAAGGAGATAAAAGCTAGTTCTGAAGGAGATTCTTCCCTGACATTCACATTAAGAACCACATCTGCATAAACATAAATACATTAAATCACATCATGAGAAAAAAAACAAAAACAAAAAAATTAGTGTTCCTTGTTTCTGAGGAATGATCAGATAGCTAAATAAATAGTACTAGTTTTGCTTTGGAAATCTCTTTACAATAGCTCGTAAGAGGTGGGAAAATATGTTGCAGCAATAACTATGTTTATTTCCATATCTGTTCTTTCAGTTTGGCAATGTTCCCTTGAAGGAGTGTCATGAATAATCACAAACCACTTATTCCATATGTAAAAAAACTAATACAAAAATTCTGATGTCCATTTATGCTTTGTATATATCATTTTCAGATATAAAATTACTGGTTTTGGACAAATCTGTGTTTCCTATTTAATGAGTTGTACAGTTTAGAATTTGGGA